TTTACAAACTCAGCCGGAGAGAACCAAACTCTTGAATATCGTACGACGCCCGCCACATTCTTTGAAAGACGAAACAGTTATGTCAAAATTGCAAGAAAAAATATTCTACAAATTTTTGATTTTTTTTTCGAAACTAATGAATTTTTCTTTAAAATTTTTGAGTTGTATTTCGAAAAACTTTGAAATATTCAAATAATTATCAGTTAAATCAATTTCAAATGAAATGTAATTGAATTAAAACAAACCAAACTGAGTAAAACAAATACTAACTCCATGCAATTTTAGTACAAAATAATCAGTAAAGTAGAATCCAAAAAACTAAATGATAATTGGAATGCACTAGCGCATGATTCGCACCTACAGTGCTCCAAGTAAATCATTGAATATGAAAAGATCTTCCTAAAACATGTACTAAAGCAGCGATATTTAATGCAACCATGAAGATAAACTGAGCTCAATTATCAGGGGTTTCTTTTCTATAAAAAAAGGCCACATGCCAAAAACCAAGATGATTTGAGCAGATATAATAAGAGGTCAGAGTTGATATTCTACATTTTTCCTGGACAGCATTCCACTATAAGTTTAAGAATTTCAATTTCAATTAGTTGTTTTTATCTGTTTTCTTTGAAAAAGTATTGAAAAAATCATGAGAAATGCAATATCTCGGATACAAAAAAAAACAGGAGTAAAAGTAGAGACCAGAATTTTACCCTTACAGTATCCCCTGAATATATCCTGACAGAAACCCATCCTTAAGATTGAGAATTTCAAGATCAGTTAGTTTTTTTTAAATAAGTTTTAAAAAGTTGAAGAAATCATAAAAAACGCAACTTTTTGAAAAGCAGAAGGATTTAGGCAGTCACTTTGCAGGGAAGAATTGAACCCCTGAGAGTACCCTGACAGCACCCCATAAAAAATAAAATGATTTGAGCAATCATACTTGAACGCCAGATTTGCAACTCCTGAATGCACCCTGACTGCATCCCAGTATATTCAATTTAAGTTTTTTACAAACTCAGCCGGAGAGAACCAAACTCTTGAATATCGTACGACGCCCGCCACATTCTTTCAAAGACGAAACAGTAATGTCAAAATTGCAAGAAAAAATATTCTGAAAAATTTTGATCTTTTTTTTCGAAACTAACGAATTTTTCTTTAAAACTTTAGAGTTGTATTTCAAAAACTTTTGAAATATTCAAATAAAAAGCAGTGAAATCAATTTCAAATGAAATGTAATTGAATTCAAACAAACCAAACTGAGTAAAACTAACACTAACTCCATGCAATTTTAGTACAAAATAATCAGTAAAATAGAATCCAAAAAACTAAATGATAATTGGAATGCACTAGCGCATGATTCGCACCTACAATGCTTCAAGTAAATCATTGAATATGAAAAGATTTTCCTAAAACAAGTACTAAAACAGCGATATTGAATGCAACCATGAAGATAAACTGAGCTCATCTATCAGGGGTTTCTTTTCCAGAAAGAATGCCACATCCCAAAAACCAAACTGATTCGAGCAGATAAAATAAGAGGGCAGAGTTGATATTCTATTTTTTTCCTGGACAGAATCCCACCATAGATTTAAGAATTTCAATTTCAATTAGTTGTTTTTAAATCTGTTTTCTTTGAGAAAGTATTGAAAAAATCATGAGAAATGCAGTATCTCGGATACAAAAAAATATAGGAGTTAAAAGTTGAGACCAGAATTTTACCCTTACAGTATCCCCTGAATATATCCTGAAAGAACCCCATCCCTAAGGTTGAGAATTTCAAGATCAGTTAGTTTTTTTTAAATTGGGTTTTAAAAAATTTGAAAAAATCATAAAAAACGCCACTTCTTGAAAACCAGAAGGATTTGAGCAGTGACTTTGCAGGGAAGAATTACAACCCCTGAAAGTACCATGACAGCACCCCATAAAAAATAAAATGATTTGAGCAATCATATTTGGACGCCATATTTGCAACTCCTGAGTGCACCCTGAATGCATCCCAGTATGGATTGAACTTAATTTTTTTTCAGTTTTTCGAGAAAATTTTTAAAAAATTACAGAAAACGCCACATATCGGATACCCAAAACGATTTGACCAGTCAACTTAAGAATCCAGATTTTCAAAACCTGAGTGTACCCTGACAGCACCCCACTATGGGGTTGAGAATTGCTAGTTCGAGTAGTTCTTTTTATATAAGTTTTTTTGAAGAAAAAAAATGAAATCATAGAAAACGCCATATCTGGAAAACCAAAGTATTTGAGCAGTCATACTTGGACGCCAGATCTGCAACCCCTGAATATACCCTGACTGCATCCCAGTATAGGATTTAATTTAAGTTTTTTACAAACTCAGCCGGAGAGAACCAAACTCTTGAATATCGTACGACGCCCGCCACATTCTTTCAAAGACGAAACAGTTATGTCAAAATTGCAAGAAAAAATATTCTGAAAAATTTTGATCTTTTTTTTCGAAACTAATGAATTTTTCTTTAAAATTTTGGAGTTGTATTTCGAAAACTTTTGAAATATTCAAATAATAAGCAGTTAAATCAATTTCAAATGAAATGTAATTGAATTCAAACAAACCAAACTGAGTAAAACTAACACTAACTCCATGCAATTTTAGTACAAAATAATCAGTAAAAGAGAATCCAAAAAACTAAATGATAATTGGAATGCACTAGCGCATGATTCGCACCTACAATGCTTCAAGTAAATCATTGAATATGAAAAGATTTTCCTAAAACAAGTACTAAAACAGCGATATTTAAATAAATTGTGAAACAAAAATGTTGACAGCGCTCCAACCCATGAGTAAACATTTAAACCCTTGCAAAAATGGCCTTTTACTAAACAAAGATATCTCAAACATGTGCCACATGAAATTTTTTAAGCAATAAAATATATGATTTAGCTTTAACTTGAAAAATTTCTTTCGTTAAACATGCAAGAAACAAAACATTGAAAAAGCTTAAGCATGTCAACCTAGAGACTTCTTTGCTTGTACAAGCACAGCGGAAACTAAGCCAACAAAAAATTGAGCATGAACAAATTTAACTTTCTCCTGAAAAAAAAACTCCAAGACTTGTATACGAGTACTCACTACATTTATTACTCTTAAAAATGCCATAAGAAACTGTTAGCATAAATAAATGTTGAGCAACCAAGTAAAAACAATTGAACTTTTACAGGACAACCTACCTGATTTCTTTAATAAACCAATTTCTGATTTGAAGCGACACAAATGAAGGTAACTAAGCCAATAAAACATAAGCCGAAAAAATTTAAGCCGAAAAAAAATTTCAGCGAAACAAAAACAAAAAATGGAAGTATACGAATTCAGGGCTAGTAATTTTTTATATTATAGGAATTCATCAAGAACACTTCCATCTACGACGAAAATTGCTGACAGCAGAAGAAAATTCCCAAGTCGACAAAATATAAGCAGGCGAACAAAAACAGACACTTTAATTTTTCCCGGAAATTTGTTTATAGTTTGATACTTACCGAAAAAGAGCAAGGTCAGGCCGCGAGTCGAAACCCAGAAGTTAGGGTACAAATACAACCGCGCTACCTCTAGGCCAAATATGAAGCAGTCTCGAAGTTGCTACGGTTGACTAATAAACTAACTTCAGTTTTAAGAAAACGTTGTTTACGGAAAAAAGCGTAGTTCCCGATTACAAAACACTTGCTTTCGCAAGCGTAACAAAAAGAATAACTGTTTAAGATGAAACTGGTGACTTCCAGCCAGAGGAAAAGATGCATTTTAATAGAGTAAGGGACACCAAAGACAATTCAAACTTCGCAAGTAAACTCAAATGGTAATTACTGTAACGAGAATGATTTCAAATATTCAATCTTACATTGAACAAATTTGATATAAAAGTAGTTACGCAGAGAATTTTTTGTTTACAGCGGAGATGAATAACCGTTTTTTTGGTAATGGGGTTTGCGAAAATCTGAAATCAAAATAGCACAAAGGCCCGGCCATAATAACAAAAAACTAAATTAAAAACGGTTTCAATTTTTTCAAACTGTGTCCTTGTTAGTTCGTGGTGAGAAGAGAGGATCTGAACAAAAACCTAGAATAGGCATATATTCAAAAGAAAAAGTATATTAGGCATCATTGGCCCTAATTTTTTTCAAAAAATGAACAGAAAGACAAAAAAAGTAAGTAAATCAAAACATTATTCTTTTAATTGCAGAATTTTTTTGACTTTCTATTTCCACTAAGGCGGTGAAAAAAAAAAGAGTTTATTTTATTGCAGTTAAAATAAATTTCCATAGCTTAAATAAAACCCTGACGTCCTTTTATATGCCTACTCACTCGCTCGCTTTATTTGCTCGAAAGAAACTAGACTTAACATCTTTCCATTTTTAAGGTTGTTCGATTTAAGCTCGAAAAGTCTTTACAGACAAATAGCAGTTCTAGAGTTCTTAAAAGTTCAATAAGATGGAGTATGAATTAAAGCCTCGAATTAGTATAAATTCTGCGACTTCTCGCACTCGAAGCTACCACCTATGGCATAGAAATTTGAAATCTCACGCACTAACCACTCAGCCATAGAGGCTTAGTCCATCAAACACTAGCCACAAATAAAGCCGAGAACAGATGCTTTACCATTTCCAATGCTACAGAATTGATTATAGCTAAAAGGCACACAAGTGAACTTATATTTCTTTCTAACCTAACTCGCAAATAACGAAGTTCACTATTTTCATTATTTATTTCCAAACCGTCAGCATTTAGCTCTTCACGTAAATTTCTTGGCACCGGTTTTGCTCAAAGAACTTGTCAAAGGTCTTGATTGAGATTCAAAAGCAGTAAATTGCCAACAACTATGCATGGGATATTCTTTTGCTACCGTCACAGAAATTACAATTTTTTCCGACATGTACTTACGTTCCAACCAGTCGATACAACAAGTTAAATAACGTTTTAAAGAGTTACATTCAACGCCAATTAAGAACAGTCAGTCATAACAAACATCCGATTCGCTTACCTTTTTTGGGTGCATTCAAATCCTTTTATATCGCGACATAATTGTCGCACGAACTTTCGTTCTGCGGATTTGAACGATGAAGGAAAAGTCAATTCTGTCGAAAAACACAGTAAATCATTTTCCTGTTAAGGAGACTAATACTGTCTATATTTTCAATATTTTTGAAAGCAATAACAATTCCTGGGACAGTATTTTCACTATGTATAGATTTCAACCACTATCAGTTTAAATCTTCATTTGAAGTTTCAGGTAACTAAGGCGACAGCTGTAAAAAGGAGTTTCTTCCAGTTATTTATGAACTTTACGACAACAATTAAATAAGCAGCGAAATTGGGCAGTCACTACTTCAATTCAAGTGATAATATTTGCGTGCCTAGTTTTAGATAAAAACTAATCAGAGGACTGAAAATTTATTTAGACGTCTTAATGACTTGTCTTCATAGTGTCCTGTCGTCTTATTTACCTAGCACTGTCCCAGACTTACACCAACTTACTTTTTCTAGGACCCTTTTACGCTTTAAATTTGAATAGTAGTTTGAAGTACTTATTTTGAAAGTGTCTTCACCAGAATCTTAATTTAGTCTTGCATATAAAACTGCATGTTAGCAAAAAGCAAAAAAACTTTCAATTCAAATATAACAAAAAAAGTAAATAACCTTTCTCTTGATCTTTGCACTGAAAACGTTTGACAGCGCTGATAATTGCAGTTTCAATAACTTTTTCGACGCTTGTCTGAGCCACCATTTGACCAGACGATTGACGAATCAATCCCGTTTCTGGACTGTTTTGACTTCTCATTAATGAAATATGAACTTCTTAACTTCTGAAAATTGCAAACCTCAATTTCAAAACCCGACGACACATATCACACCAACCAATTAAGAAATAGGTGATAACTTTGTAGATACATTGAAATAGATTGGATCAAAACATTTTATTCCAAGCCAGACATAGAAATAAACCTTTGAAATTTAGAGTCATCAAAATCATTATTCAAATCATAATAAATTTCTTTGAGACCACTAGAAAAAGTCTCAAATTCAATCTTAGTCATTTCAAGTTGTTCGCATAAAGACTTCGTTAATGTTTTTATATATACAATAAGCTGCCTAGAACTCGTTGAGTCGTTTTCAATATCTGATTCATCGGTACATTCGTTTTCATATCCATGGAGTTTAAGCATCGATGTTAGAAGAAACTTGAGATACCATAATTGGGCCGATCGCTCACAGCTAGTCGTATTTTTCAAGTTCATAATTATTTCGCATCGCTTGTCGTGAGTTATCTTTAAAAACCAATCGACTAACTGCAGATTGAACTCGCTTCGATGATCATCACAAGCGATTCCATAAAAACTTATACATCGTGAGAATTGGCAGAAAGTATCTAGATCAGCGTGAATTTCTTCGATTCTAGAAAGCATAATGAACAGAAACCCGCTTACAGTTTTTGCTGCCGCAGTATTGGGGTTCCGTTCAACCATCTCCGCGAAAACTTTAATCAAAGTTTTATAATTCGCCGTCTCATTTCTGCAAAAATCATTCAATACGGTATAAAAACTTGTCTTCAGCTTTTCATTGGCATCTTGCAAATGATCAAAAACAAATCGCGCCAACCGAATGATTTGTTCAGTCTTCAGAGAGCTACAATTTTCCAATATAGAAACAAATTTTAAAAGAAATCGAGACGTTTTCCCTTTGCCGCAATGTATAATAAATCCATCTGCTAAATTTAACAACTGAACTAAGTTTTTGTTGTTTGAACTCAAAGTCGCATTTTGCACGTAACTTCCCAGGTACTCAAGTAAAGATTCTGACAGTTTCAAAATATCTGACCGGCTGCTGAATATTGGAAGTAAGCTCACCTCCATTACACAATGATTCAACTGCTTTCCGTAGAGCATCGGTTGACCTCTTAAAGAAACTCGGTACGGGAAAGACTGCAGAACATACCGTGAGAAGTTTGATGCCAGGAGCGTCCAATCTAAATTGTATTTTATACCCAGAAACGGCTTTTCATGTAGAATGATGATATCTTTTAGCACCTCAAGAGCATAGTATAGACTTTGCAGACATTGGTCGTAGCTGGTTGGATTTGAGACATTCTCTGATAAATTTTGACTAACTGATATCCAAATTTGGAAAAGAACATTGGTCAAGGTGATCATTGATGTCGAGATTTCGTCCATTCCTTCGTCATCAGGCGACTCGTGTTGCGACGTGAACAGCGAGTGCAGGTTGATAGATGGCGTGTTGAAATACTGCACGTGGAACCCACACTCTTGATTCAATTTTGGTTCTATGGTCTGAAACGGTTTTAAGTTAATCCGAGAAATAGCTAAAGTGATCTATTTTATATTGAACAGACGTTAAGTAAAATTGAGACACCCACGCCTTAAAAACGCACTGCTACAAGTCAATGACGTCCATTTCTATAAGAGCCATTTATTTTTCAAAGAATTATGACTGAACTAACAAGAAATTTGGTTTGGAAAACCTGTGATTATGAGAGGGTCTGATAATGAAATTGGATGACACCGCCAGAAATTGCTCCTTATGTTATTAATTGATTTCTACAACACGAACGGGATAAAAAACTAAATAGCTCAGATACGTCCACAATCCCTAGTTTCAAAATTATTGTCTGAAACCGAAAAAAATTATCTGCACTCCAATGCACAGTAAAAAAAATGACAAACCTTTTCGGCAAATCCGTTTTGTGTTTCATTCTGCTCGACGCACATTCGACTTAGATACTGGTGCACTCTTTTCATAACTTCTGTCTGCTTCGCCATATCGTCAATGTTACAGGATGAAGCATACTCGCCTGGTTTAAGTGATTTGGATCCGGTGAAAGAGTGAAATCTTTTGGCGATTGTGGATACCGGCAGAGGAGCTAGAATATGCACAAGTACAGGCAGGACTCGTCTCCCTTGTTTGACAGCAAGCTGGCCGTAATTTTCAAACACTGAAAAAAAAACAGATTTTTTATTGAAAACCCCGATAATGTACAGCTTACCACGGATGGCCTTGATAAGATATCATGTTCGGGACATCATAACCCAATTATTACCTCGGTAGAGAAGCAACAATGCACTTTTTTGTATCGCCTCGTCGACGTGTGTCAATGCATTGCACAGATGCGCCAGGAAAACATCAAACAGTCCTTCGAAATCACGCTCGGAAACCGAATCGCAGATTTTTCCGAACAGCGAACAAGCCAGTTTTCGCACTTGCAGGCTGGCGTCACACAAAACGACACAAAGTTTTCGTACAATCGCACTTAGATTCGCCATGAGATCTGATTTATTCACAGCTTCGAGAGGAAAAAGAATTTCATCCAAAGATGTCACCGCGTCTGCACGCATATTTTCGTTCATATGACAAACTTTAACTAGCAATTCAGGGATTGTACGTTTCTTCTTATCGACAGATGAATGCTCATTTATTCCTGATTTAAGCTGCGATTTGATTATCAATTTCTTTGTCTGCAGATCAATCTTGGTAACGTTGAGGTTTTTAGGAAGAGTTTTACCAACTTTCAACTTGGGCTTGTTGAAATCAGATTTATTCAGCTTCTTTTTACGTTGACTCACCATATCTGAAACCAAATAAATCAAGCGGCGCAAATAGAATAGAAGAAACTGCGTCCTTGGCTCGAATATTTCAATAGATCATAGGTATAATATCATCATGAAATGGTTCAAACCCCTCATTTAACAATGATAAGAGAAAAGAGTCTATCAAAACGAGTGTGAATAATACGAAGTATAAACTAGCCAAAAAAGCGCAAACTCTATGAGCCAGCAGAAAAAAGCCTCATTTGACAAACCTTTTTATATAACATTTACGAACTTTCGGCTGGCTGATATACTTCGGTTGGTTCATACACAACAATAAAAACTAAACTGTTCATATTTTCAAAAATTTAAATAAAAACAGAGTTCAAGAAAATCAAGGATAGCCAGCTGCTGTGCATGTAGCACAAAAGTTTTTTCGAATCTTTGTTAGTGAGTGGTGTGATCAAAAAGATCTGAACGAAAAGCCTGAAACCGTGGCATAATTGACAGTTAGAGTTAAATAGGTAAAATAAACAACTGTTTTCGACGAAAAATGATTAGAAAACAAAAAAATCACAAATTTTTTCTATTTTAAATTTTGTTTTTAAGCGCCGTTTTTATTCCCAAAATGGCGCTTAAAAACCTCCAAAAACTAAATTATCTGGGGCTTGAATAAAAGTTTCACGGCTTATCCTTGTATAAAATATTTGCCGGCTCGCTCGCTTTACTCGCTCAAAATTGGACAAAAACTCAAACATTCAAACCAGTTTTCCTCGACATTGCGACTATTTTGTGATTTTTTTTACATAATGTTCGAATCACCACTGAGAGCTTTTTTATGATATATCACGACCCAGTCCGATGTTTATTACCTGATTTTGCTTGTAAAATTATAAAAACTGAAACACCCGAATGTAAAGCTCCTCCATTTTCACTGGTCGGAACAACAGGAACACAACTTCCCGCACACTAATGGATCATAGGGGGTCCTTCAGAAATTCAACAAAGGCAAATAAAATTTTTTGCATAACTAAGAGAAACATTTTTTAATCAAACAATTCCATAAAAGTTAAAGGAATAGTCGGATATTTCATACTCATTGAGGTTCTCGAGATGAAAAAGTCAGACTCCATTCAATACAGAAATGAGAGGGATATCCCGACATTGAGAAAAAATTAAATTGAGAAGAAAAGTGCAAGACCAGAAAAACAGTGGAGAAACAACTATCAGGATTTAAAAAGCTGTCTTTTTAAGTGCGGTTAATAAGCCAACAACACGTGAATAGGAACACGTTGACCCGAAAACAAAAACAACTCATAAAAGAACAATGTCTCTTTTGCAACCATCCTCATGAAACGCTCATCGTTTGCGCATCAAATTATGCACAAGGCGACGATGCGATGCGATATACAATAAGCCAAAAGCATTTGATCTTCTAAAATTTACCAACTTGGATAATCAAAAATAAGCACCAGAGCGACTATCACTTAAAGTAAAAAAAATAAGCCGACAAAAAGTGTACAGATAAACGGAGGTCCGACTATTCCATTTTTCTTAGACAAAAATTAAATTTCATGCATACTGAAAAAGAACAAGAACAGACCAGGATTCGAACAGCACACCTCGCCGTGCGAATGCGCTCGTAACACCTCTAGTTCGAGTGAAAAGGATCGAATAAATTGTTTCGATAGCAAATCAGGTTCAATTTCTTACAGTTGGTAAAAAAAATGTTTCGGGAAAAAAGTCAACCATCCGATTTCAAGTCACTTGCTCTCGCAAGTGAAACGTTCGTTTTCCAAACTATGCACTTCTGTGACTCTTCTGCTCTAAAATAAAAAAGCAATAACAATGATAGCCGGTTTTAAAAAGCGCCGAGCACAAGAAAAAAGTTAATTTTTTTTTAATTGTTTCGTTTTTGATTCATGGAAAACTTAGGCTTATTCGACATATCAAATTACGCATATTGGACAAAAATGTTTCTCCAAGGAAAAAACTCCGAAACTGAATTTGACTCCAGTAAAATTAACTTTTCACAACTCATATAATGGCTTATTGCACTATTTTAAGCCTGATCTCTCGCTTTATTTGCCCGAAAATAGACTGAAATCCAAAATATCAAACCGATTTTCTCGAAACGCCAATAACCTTTAAAAATTTGGTCTGTAGCTCGAATTAAGGTTAAAAATGCTTAAAGTTGCTATATCAATCGACCCGTTTCGATGATTATTTTAGGTACCAAATTTGGAGTGGAAAAAAACTTTACAAAAAAATTGAAAACATTTAAGACAAAGTTTCTCCAAACGTCCACATCGGGTCCAAACAAAAACAAAATACAAGGATAGCCAACAGACAGCTGGACAAAAGTCAATGAACGCAATTACACAGAAAAAAAAACTAACTTATTTTTTTTTAACCAATTTTAAAGGAAAAACAGACTCACTTGAAGCTCTTTGAATTTCTAGAACAATTCATCACTGACACTTTCTCGATAAAATGAACCCAATTTCAGAAAACTGCATCAATAGGGAAACTTTTAATTTCACTGGGAAATTTGAAAATTAAATTCCATATCGAAACTAGAAGTCGATCACGTTTTTCGTGCCCTTTTAAATTTCGCTGTTCGATAATGGAGTTTGCTTTCCTTTCAACAAAAGAAATGAACTGAACTTAAAAATAAAACAAAAGTCGATCCGCAAAAATTAAATTTGAGCCCGAAGAAGTCTTTTTCTTGAAAAAAAAATCACCAAGACCTATATGAGAGTGCGCTCTAGGTTTATTACTCTTAAACATGCCATAAGTTCACGAGACTTATAAGAGTCTGAACTACGTTCATCGATTCTTAATAAACAAAAAATTCTGTGGTGTGATAACTTTTCAAGGCAAATATTACAAATCGAGGTCATTTTGGCTGTTTGTCTAAACCAACCTTGCAGAAGAATATGGTACGGTACATACATGTGTTTCGAAAATCCTGACGTTAAACATTTTTCTTAGAAAAGTGTGAGTGTGGCATAGAGAGAAGTTTCTGTTGCCCTCCGACATTTACCCTTATCTCCCTCTAGTAAATTGCATCGTTTCAGAAAGATACAATAATAGCCAACAGACAATTGGAAAAGAGACAATGAATGCAAGTAAACAAAAAGAATACTGACATTTTTGGAAAAATCTGATCGATTTTCAAACTTTCGATTTTCAAAGACAAAAATAGATGGCTTTAGAGCTCTGTGATTCCAAAACAATTTATGATTGACACTTTTTTGATAAACTGACTCATTTTGAGAAAACTGCATCAATAAGTGAACTTCTGTTTCGCTGAAAAATCTGAGAACTAAATTTTTTTTCAAAACTAGAAGACGATCACGTTTTTCGTGACCTTAACACTTGCTGTTCGATACTAGAATTGGCCTTCCTTTTAACAAAGGAAATGAACTAAAACCAGAAAGAAATCAGAAGTCAAACCGCGAAAAAAAAATTCATGAAAAAAAACAAAAAAAATCATCATGACCTATATAAGAAACTGAACTACGTTCATCGAATCCTAAACAAAAACACGCACATTTTTCAAAAACTATTTTTGGTAAATTTAAACTATCATATGTACAAAGATATACAAATTTCGATTTACAATTTCATTGAGAATGATTGTGTTTGATGACAGATCAGAAGACATGTGCGAACGGCAGCTCTGCTTTGTTCGGTTGTAGTAGATCGACTAGGAAGCAAATTGTTCCTGCCCATCCCTCGTACAGACTCCAGGGTTCGTCTGGACTCCGAGCGCCCATCTCAAAATCACTGAAACAAGGGAACATGAATTTACTAGCAAACCTTCTCACTTTACTTTGGAGTTGGGTCATATAACTAGTGTTTCAACTTAGGAATCAATATAGTTTTATGAGCACATTTGCAGAAGTCCTCGTAGATACTCGGAATTATCATTTAACCTCATATTTTTAGGAGCTATTCGGACACAAAATTTTAATCGAAAACAGCAATGATTCACCGGTGACTATAGTTGAACTACAAGGACCAAACAAGCAAAAATGTCAAATAATCAACTTCCTTCAAGCAGTCCAAAAAAGACCGATTTCCCAGGTTTTTGGATACTTCTATCAGATTTTCGAATACTGAAATTTGATTGGCTAACATATTTATCGGGTAATCAGTGCTTCAATCTTAGGAATTGTCCCAACTTACCTAGTGAAAATGAATTGAGCGAACTGAAGTGCTCGGTGGTAGTACATGTCATCCCCAGTCAGTCTGTACATGAGGAGGAACGCGTACCCATTACCCGCTATTCCATGGCAGATACCAGGTCCCTTTTTAATCAGTCCCCGCTTCCATATGCAGTCAGCCGCTTTGATGCAACCCTGTATCAAATAAGAACTTCATCAGATTGTTATACGAAATAGTCATAGGATGATCTATTCATAGGACCATCGGAGTGCAATCATTGAAGCGTTCACTTGGAGGAAATTTCCATAAAAACACAAAAGTCAGACGAATCAGATACGAATTAAGAACACTATAGTCTCCACACACTCAAGCTATTTTTGCATAATTGAAACAAGATAGCTGATCTAATTAATTTGCCACAGTTAGCTGGTTTCGAATCTCAAAAACTTGATTGACAACCTAAATAAGGGCTCCGTGCAGATTCTATAGACATACCTGCAAATATTTTTCCTCTTTGAACACCAAGTACGCTTTGGCCAGCAAATTTATAACACCAGGTGCTCCGTGGCACCAATGGACAAGTTCGTGCTCGGGGGGTCTCTGAAACGTCAGTTCGTTCGTTCCCGGGTGGAAGTTTCCATTGGCAGCTTGTGTTTGAAGAACGAAGTCGACTGATCTCTTCACTTGCTGAATACTCTCTGCATTTGCATGCACTGATGGTTCATTGAGCAGAGCTAGTAGAATTCCCGTGAGACCATGAGCCATTCCTAAACAGTCATTTTCATTCTAACAATTCTAGTTAAGCACACCGAGAGATCTGAAACGTCAATGTTCTTCAGGAAAACACGCGTTCTCATTATAATCAAATTATTGGCTTATTGACATGCACTAGCAGGGTGGTGTAGTAAGCCATCCGTCTAGAAATTATTTCGGCTGCAAAAAGTACTTCAGTCCAAAACCCAAAAAATTCCACCATTAATCTCACGGCTGAAAAACTACTACTCCACCTAAAGCAAGAATTCATCATAACCACGCTTAGTATGAGTTTCACAGTTACCTAAGTATTCCTCTCCGTAGTAGGCATACATGAGAGGGCACTGTCCCGACTTTCTAAATTGGGACTCGGAGGACAGTCCACTCTCCAACATGGCAGTGGTCAGCTTCTGTCTGGTTGCACTGTGCACGGGTGATCCCTGACCCAGCACTCTAATCGCACTCTGCACGGCTGTGAGATATCCCGCTCTGCCCACGAACAGTTCGTCACTTCCGTGTTTGTGGAATCTGATTGGCTCGCAGATGCCACTTGCAGCACCCAGACGAACAATCATATCTGAACAACCCAAATGTCACTTTAAAACATGCATTTTACAATGCAATCGCAGTTCGCATCTGTACTAGTTGGAAATTAAAAACTTTGTTCTTCGTCCAACCCAATAAAGTGTAAAAATGACCGAAAAAACGACAAATACAACTATTTAATAGAGCAGAAAATTTCTAATGGTAACTTTTTTGAAATTTTTAAATTTAAGATGGAAAGACCGGGTAACTCGATTGCATAGCACTTGAATTAAGGATTTCAAAGATCAGCACTTAATTTTTCTCATTAACGCGATACCACCACTGGACCATACAATCAAGCTTATTCCATCTGTGAACCGCTTGTTTCGGACAGAGCTACACCATCTCAATTGAGCGTCCACAAAAAGGTGAAAAAATTAAGACGGCTGCCAAGTAGCAAACGAGAAGTCCAACTTTTGAAAAACCTAGCTAAGTCAGAATTTCGAAATCTTTCGACTGCGCAGCTGCGCCACGCTTTACGAAAAGGGAACGTGCCTCTCTACCCAGGAAACTCCATTCTTCTTTGACGTCGACTCAGAAAGTGAGATGGTGCCTGCTTGAGGTGTACGACTTGAGAATGAATTGAATGAGAATTGCTATTGGTGTGCGCGGCGGTAATCTGAGCTTGTAGACTGTTGCGAAAAGGCGAAAAAAATCCCATATTTACCTTTGCCTCAAAATATGGATCAGCGCAAAAACAACTTTCGGCCTGGCAATCACCTGACGAGCAGCAGCGATCTGAAAGCATTGCAGACCTCTGAGCGTCTCGACTTTGTCTTTATTGACGACCAATGGTAGGTCTATTGATACTGTTACCTATATATGACTCCTTCAAAATAAAAAAAATCGAAATCATTCATACCTTCTCAAGTACAATTTCTGGCAAGTGAATTCTGGGTATTGGAACCACAACCCTCAGCTAAACACCCGTTAGCAAGCAATTATGGGTTCAGAAATTCGAATTGAACGCATGTTTAAAATATTTTCTTAGCTTTAACGTAATTTAATTCTTAGCTTTAATGTAATTTCTAAAACATTCGTAAAATCGTTCACATCTTCTTAATTACGAGCTTCTAGAAACTGCAACGCCCTAAACTACGCCCCAATCAATATGCACCCACGAGTACAAAATTTTGAATCAAAAACTTTGATTTAAAAATTTAAACTATGTAAGATTCATCAAAAAATACCTCTGGCGTAAACCTGAAAAATAAAATAACGTATTTGGACCTCGGCTTGATCAAAGTTTCTAAGTTTCTACTATATTACGCCTCGTTTTGCTCCTTTTTACCCTGAGCTTCCCAGCTTTGCCTTGCGCTGCCTCTCCGTACTCTGCTCTGCCCTGTCCTCCTTGCTCTGCCCTGTCGTCCTTGCTCTGCGTTGTGCAGGCATGCCTTGCCTTGCTTTGCGCTCCCCTGCCTTGCCTTAAGCTGCCCTGCCAATTCTTGCCATGCGCTGCCGTGACTCACGTTTCCCATCCTCTCTTTGCGCTGCCCTGCCTTGCCTCACACCACCCCACCTTACCTTGTGCTGCCCTGCCTCGCCTTTAACTTCCCTTACGCTTCTCTGCCCTGTCCTGACCTGGTTTACCCTTCTTGTATTCCGCTGTCCTGCTTTGTTCTGCCCTACCTTGGTTTACGCTGCCTGCCTTGGTTTGCGTTTCTCTGCCTTGATCTACACTGCCTTGCGCTGCACAGCGTTCAAAATTTCACCTGGTCTGGACATTTCGCCTTGATCTAAGACACTTATTCAGACTTCGGATTTGAAAACTTCTAGAATATTGATTTTTTTGAACTGCCTTAGGCTACCCTGCGCTGCCTTGCCTTGCGCTCTCCTGTTGCCCCTCCTTGCATTCTTTTACGCTGCCCTGCCCTGCCTTGCATTGCGCTGCCTTGCATTGACTCGCCCTGCGCTGCCCAGCCCCCTCCTTCATTTTGCTCAAAACTTCCAAGACGTCTAGACATTCGACCTTAACCTTAATAAACATCAAGTTGAAATTAAGCGAGACGTTTGGGTGAATGAAGCTTCTAGGACATTGATGCCTTTCTCTTAAACATTGTCCACAACGCCTTTTGTTAACGATTGACCCAAATGAAAATCGCTTAAATGTGGCCCATAAAGCATTTGGCGTTGCGTTTAAATAAATAGATAGATAAATAGATAGATTACTAAACTGATAAACAGTCAATCGAACAAAGTTAACTTTATCTACAATTGAAGCCGTACTCCGAATGACAGCGGTTAATAAAAGCACTCGTGACAGCTTGAGGCAAGTAGTCGCTTACTGGTCGATAAAAAGATACCGCTCCATCGATGTCTCTCTTGATCCATTCAGGACAGAGAACGTTCTGGTCGCTTTTAATTTTGGACGATATAAGTATGAAAACCTTTGTGAAACCGTAGTGAAATTTACGTCCCCTTCAATCGAATTGAGTCACTGGCCAAAAATACAACTATTGCGGCCATTCAAAAATTGTAATTCACACAGAAGCAAACGAAAAAAAAAAACAAGAAAAAAATTTAAAATGTTAAAAAAAGATGACTAGGGGCCCAGCTAAAGCAAGAGGTAGGTGTTTTGATAAACTCATACACCGATGTGCGATGAAAATAGTTCACTTCAAAAATTGGACTTTGCCCAAAACGTTTACTACTAAAACCATTTCCCAATTAAATTTAGAGAAGGTGGAAAATTTACGAGAAACTCGAACAATACCAAAGACCAAAACATTTTTCTTGCAAACAATTAATGAGACACCGCTTCTGCAAAAAAAATTCTCGCAAACTGTTATTTCGATTGAATTCATCTGATTTAATAGTGTAGCTGATAGGAAATATCAAAATTTTCTAAAAAACGGCCATATGTGCAAAAACTTGACTTTCCGAAATCAATAACTTTTTTCTGCAAAAAGAGAGTCGTTGCCGCGTTAGCAGAGAAGATTTTCAAAACTGGGTTTTTCGATTGACCACTTCACCGGAGAATTAGGAGGGTAGTTGTCGAGAAAAGTCAAATAGTTTCGAAAAACGGTAAAAAAAAACAATTATCGTCGTTTCCGAGGGCCACAACATTTTATATAACACAAGCAAAAATATGACTGACAACGCTACTGGAAAACACTGAATGAGTAAAACTTTGAGTCTACACACTCAAATGATGAGTCTACATAATTGCTAACTGACGCAAGCCTATTATGACTCATTAAAAGTACCAGTCAGTTTGAAAAAAAAAGAAACTTACCAAGTAACATGCCTCAATTTATAGAGCGGACGCATTTTAACTTGTATACGAAAAAGTTCATTAAAAAATCTGACCCTGCTCAAGTTCGAACCCTCTTTTTTTGCTGCTGGTCTCCTTCCCTACCTCTACGCTACAGAACCATGATACCTTGAAGCTAAAGTGCTATTTGTAATATAATAGTCTCTGTTAATATCCATAGCATTGGCTGCACTTAATAGCTGTATCACTCTCAAAACAAACGCGTTTTGTCGCAACCATTCCATCGCAACAATATTTGCGACTTAGGTTGGAAAAAAAGAAAGCTCATAGTATAACACAAGCTATGCTTGTGTAAATAGGAGGTAGATTCCAGTTAAATAGCTGGATCGCGCTTTGTTATACTTCGAGCAGTATTTATAATTTATTTCCAAGCCTATATAAATTCTTAGGCAGAAGAAGTTTGAACTTTTTAATAACATTCATCTGACAGAGTTATGTATATGCAAAAACTATCTTAGACGCATGTACAATTGATTGAAAACAAAATTACTATATTATGCATTATAGTTCTCAAAAGTAATACATGCACTAGTACTCAAATAGTTCAAAATTACCACTTTTTGTAACATATCAACCCGATTCGATAACGCTTGCTAATTGCAAGCGTAATAAACTCCGTGGCCTTAAGATTGATTTTTTTCCTGAAAACGTAAGTTTCCTCGTAAAACATACAAAAAATTACCGCGCAAAAACACTTGCTTATAGAGATTGGGTACACTACCTCAATAAATATCATGCCGTATTGGAGAAGTCTCAGAAAAACAAGATAAATTCATTATTATTAAGTTGTCAACCTGAAAAACACTGTCTAGTTCTTCATTTAAAACACATTCTATCGCAAGTGTAACAACTAGACCTGCAACTAGTTATAGACTCTTGCTCAGTATTGATTAATTTCTCTTACATAGTATTCGCTTAAACGACTGTTGTGCAGCCTAGGGTAGCTTACTAGTTCCGCGTAACACTGGTCTTTAGTATCATAAAAAGTTCAGATACCTTTTTTCCCATCAATTTTGTGTATTTGCAATGCATCGCCCTTTCATGCTTGGGGAAATTACGACGCCAAAAACAACTCGTTCTAACCTCGTAATTTCTCTTTCTCGCCGAGTGACTCGTAAATGAAGGCAGCGGCCAAGTAGTTTCCCACATTGCCCAATAGAAAAGCTACCTCGTCAAATGCGTCTACGTGTTTGAGGAAGATCTTGCCCAGTGCTATCTCCATGTACATTTTAGCCGTCTGAAGAAGTCTTGAATTGTGTTCAGGTAATATGCCTGACTTCGCTATGTGCCAGAGACTGTATGCCATTCCACCTAGACCCACATACAGTGAGCCTTCTGCTTTGCCTGAAAAAAATCTAGTTAGACATTTACTGAAAGCATTTTGGACACCCGGCATAGTACTTGTTTGCAGTCTCAAAATATCTGGGACATTGTCAACCAATGCTAGAATTATAACCACCGCTAAAAACCCCACAGTAAAAACCCCAGTATTTTCTTTATTGACAATCTTTAAAAAAAACATCCGACAAAATTTTGACTCTTCGCTTATCTCAATCATAAGAGCCTAGATTACTTAAGAATCATTTAGGCAATTCAAAGACCTCACCTTCTGTGGCGGGGTTTTTGGGAACTGGCGGGAACTTATTGATCATCTGATTCGCCAAATCCATGATCTTCCCTTTGAGCATCGCAACGTCTGGACGCACAGTCACCCCCTCGTAATAGTCGCCCAGGTTATTTTCAAAACGTCGAACTGATGCCATTTCGAGCCGCTTCTCACATTAACTTCCTAGAAAGTCGAATTAATTTTAAAGAGAACAATGATGTTTCAAGACTTCAAATGAAAAAAGGAGGCCAATCAACAAAAAAAATGGTCCGAAAGCATTACGAAAATATGTGTTGTATAATTGTCGGTCCCAAAAGATGGGTGGTTATCCGCACAGAGCGCGCCCAACGCATTCGACTGGGAAAGTTTCCATTAGGATAAGTACTTTTATCTTAACATTGCTTCAGCTTTCTGCTCTTGGACCATTCTGCTCAAAGTTCAACCTCAACAACAATGATAATGACACAATTTCCCATTATAGTCAATGTCAAATTGTAGGCAAAATTCTTTACGGTCAACTTATCTATACGAAGTAAATTATTATAAAACTGCTTATTCTGACGTCGGATTTTAGTTTCATTGATTTCAACGTGTTAAAATGGGGTCTAGGACAACAAGCCGACGGGACTTCAAGCCGAAGGGACTTCAAGCCGAAATTAAAACTTTACAAGCACCTCAAAAACACGTTATTTTTCAAAAATTTTGGCAAGTTTAGTCCATAATAAACGTAATTCGGCTCTTTTCCAGTTCCCCCCTTGTTAAATTACAAAAAGAGATGTTCAAAAATTGTTCACACGGCAATTTTCATGTTAAAAATGTTGTGAAAATTTGTTCAACTGTTCACGCTGACACGTTTTAATGCAGTTTATAACATTAAAAATTATTTTTAAAAGACTTTCATGTAATGAATTTCAGAAAAAATGAAAGGGGGGAAACTGGAAAAGAGCCCGTAATTCATGACAATGCACCACTTGTGATTGGCATCCGTTAATAACATCAGCCGGTTTTTGAAATGCATAAATTATAAACATGAAAAATGCCTTCAACCATGTTTTACTTTTCAACTTTCCGAAAAATCATTTGGAGGCTTAAATTTTATGAAAACGCCAATAACTTGTGAAGAAAGATCATGAACTTCAGAAATTCTTCAAAAAAGTTTTCAAATTAATCATATTTCACGATTCACGAGTTTATAAGGAACTATTCGGCTTGAAGTCCCTAATTTTACGATTCGGCTTGAATTCCCGTCGGCTTGATGTCCGGCACCCGTTAAAATGGTGTACTACAAACTCATTAACCTAAAACGCTGTAGTTTTTGACAACTTAAATTGCTCAAGGTCACTGACATTGCCAACAATTTGGCATTAACTATATAACTTTAAACAAATTTATCGAACGTCTAGAATTTCTGAAATAAATCTGGTTGTATATATTAGGCAAAAAGTATGTTGGGCGGAAAAAATTGTGTTCAAATTAGGCGAACATTTTGATAAAAAGTATATTGCAGTAGAAATCCCCCTAATTCTCCAGACGACACTGACATGAAGCGGTTAAAGACTGTAAAGCCGTTTGTCGTTTCACGGTCGCCGGCTCTACATTTTGCATAGAGTCGCACCCTGTTGGCAAGCTCCCAACACGTTGGCGCGACTGCAGTGGTCACTATTTTACCGCTGATATGCCGTTTGAACAAAATTATCGCTTATTGTTAAGTTTTTTTTCGCCTTACAAAGTTTTCTTCTAAAATAGCCGCACCCAAAAAAAAATTGAAATTACAACCAAATTTTTGACCATTGCATGTGAACTGTCACAAGAGCAGACCCAAACGGTTTTTTTTGAGAGGTCAATTTTTTTTAGGTCAATCAAGACGTGCAATTTTTCAGTAGAATATAAACACATAAATCGCCGCCAAAAAAGTAAGCGCGAAGCTGCTAAGAACTTTTTCTAATAAATTTCAGCTTAAAGGTCAGATTTATTTCGAAAATTTGAAAGGTTTCAGGCAAATTTGGCACACAAAAGCTAGTTTTTAAGAAAGAAATATGTCTCAATGTCACTATAAACTCAAATTAGCATGTCAAAAAAGGCTCAAAATTGACTGATTGCTCTCTTTTTGCAACTCTCTTTATATAATAAGTTTAACAGACAAAAATAATTAACCAGAGCAATCTGCCAATTTAATGCAACTTTTGCATACTATTTTGAATTTTTAGATAACCTTGAGTTATAGTTTCCGTCAGAAAAATCAACTTTTGCATGCAAAAACTGTCTGAAATAGGTCATTTACACTTTTTAATTCATGTTGTCTGTTCCACTTTTTGCAACTCTCTACATGCTGATCTACATCAATCAACGAGTTTTATAAATTGATATTTATCTACAAAAACTTTCAATTTGAACTGCTGCATAAGTTTTTCGAAAAATTCAACGTTGAATGTTCAAAACTCAAACCGATAACAAATTCTCAATTCATTTTCAACATCAACAATTCAACCAAAAACAAACTCATATGCATCAAACAAAAATCAAATTCATTAAGAAACGTTACATCAATCGTTAATGGGATAAACTTTAAAGAAGAATGACGTTTAGAGGAAGCAATATGTTGAACTGTGCGCCAATTGAGCAGTAAAATTCACTCCTGAAAATCGATCAAAAAAAATTTCAACTGCGAAGTTGAATTGTTTTTTGTTCGCTTTTCAGGTACAAATAAAATCAGATTAAACTTCAGATGAATTTCATCATAATAAGATATTGTCGGCACATAAACTATATGAATACGATCTAATAAAATTTTGTCTCCGATCAGTGAACAAATAGCATTCAAATAACTTTTTGAATCAATTTTTTGCAGAAAGTGAAATTGATTATAATACCTATAGATCATCACTTCAAGCTTCCAAAAAAACGTGTGTGTTTCAAGAATCTGCATCGTTGCAAAACCGTGGGGCATAGCTTCTCAACGTATCATGCGAAAATTGTTTAACACCAGATACATATGAACAGTCAGCAAATTTTTCTTTTTCTGCACAAATTAAAAAACAAACTAAATTCTAGGAAATTCAGAACTTCGCTTTGAATTTACTTTTTTTTATTTTAATTTTTTAACCCGTATTTGGATGCTGTCGGGTTTTATAGGCAGGGTTGCGGATCTTTCCTGAACAATGGCTTGCGAGATATCTATGTTTCTTTTTAGTTTGCGAGATATCGATGTAAAAAAATCGAAAAAAAAAAAAATCATCACCAATGAATTTCAAGATTCTATCGTTGAAAGCTATCTACTTGTTTTAATGTTCCGACAAATCTCACGGAGCGGGAAAGAACTATGACGTGAGAAAAAATTTTTTTAGCCGAATTTTTCAAAACCCGAAAAAAAATTTTCAAAACCCAAGTGTGGTATCAGACTTGAATAATTTGTCAAGATTTGCTTATTAAAAAGATATTGCAAAAATTGACTCGATATCGAGAAAAAGTGGTGTGAATACTTTAGATTTTAGTTGGTTTTTGCTCCTTTGCTTTAAGCATGACTATAGAAAAATTTATATATATATAAATTTAGGCAATCTTATCGAAAAGAAACTTAATTTAAATCACTACTACTCTCTTTGAAACTGGTCAATATTATATTGTACACAGAGTCGAAGCGGAGCTTCGCACAACTTGCAATAAAACACAAACATGAAAAAACATGAGCCGAAAAAAATTGAATGTTGAAAAAACTGGGTGAACCAAAAAGCCTGTTTGATTTTAAATGAACTTGCTATACTGATGCGGTACGATAAACGTGATTTCAAAAAACGGACTGTGATCAAAACCTTAGTTGTTTCTTTGAAAATGAGCGTGAGTAAAAAAAAATTTCCCAAGGCGATAACATTTCTCTTCAAAAAACTAAGGATTCGCAGCTTCAGCAGAAACCATTATCGCAACCGGTTTTTTCAGTTGAACTTTTAAACCCAGATTTGATTGAGCAAACAAACGACTCTAATAACTGTCAAATCATTTCCAAAATTCATAAAAGTTTTCTACAAAAAGCATGTTATAGCCGATTAAGCACAGAATATTCCCATAACTGGGTTTCTCGAGTGAAAGCAACCTGAGAATCGGCATGGCAGTTTTCGCGTAAAGTCAAAATTTCAACAAAAAAAAACGTTTCAAAACTTCGACTTGTTTGAATGCCACAACTTTATTCAAACGAACTGATCACAGCAATATTTAGAGATAGGCTTTTAACAATCTGTTGTTTTCATAGTCCAAAAATGGTCAACAAATCAAAAAAATTGACATTTCCGAGAATCATAGCTTTTTGTGTGAAAAGTAGGGCGTAGCCGCTGATGCAGAACAGATTTGCTTAGCCTGTTACTTAGATTGAACCCGAAATCTCAGATTTGGTAGAGTAGTTCTCGAGAAAACTCAAAAACTTTTAAATACAACTGTCAAAAAAATCAAAAATTTTTTATTTTTTCAAGGGCCATAACTTTGTATCAGAAAAATATGGGAATAGTCGCATAAGCAAATAAGCTTATCACAACCCGTTCTTTGAACTGAACCTAAAACTGAGATATGGCAGGGCAGTATTTGAAAATTACCAAAAAGTTTAACAAACGTTCAACAAACCAAAAACTTGATTTTCCGAGGGCCAAAACTCAAACCAAAAATATGTAAAAAGATTGTGAGTGGCCGCTAATGCAGAGGAGCTTTAACTACCCGTTATAACTATGGAAACCACAATATCAGATTTGAGAGTTCAGTTTTCGAGAAAAGTTAAGAAGATTCACAAAACGGTCAAAATAAAAAAATTGATTACTCCGATGATCATAACTTTGTGTTCAAAAAATTGGGCTTAGCTGGTTGCTCATGTGGGGAGCTTTTCAAAATCATTCTCTTCATTGAAACCAAAAACACAAATTTTAGAGGGGTAGTTTTCGAGAAAACGAAAAGAAATTTAAAAAATATAAGTCAACTAACCGATTGGTAAACATACAACCAATTTGAAAAGTGCGGAGAGAAGTCTTGAAAATTGGTTGTGTGGAAATTAGGTCACTAAGCCGGTGAAAAATAGGACCAAACAATTTGTGCCGAGGAATGTTTTTTTAGCGAAACAAAGAAAGAAATACGAAGTCAAAGTAAGTAAAATTATCAGTTGTAGAAGTAAATCAAACACTAAAACCAACACTAAAGAAAAAGCCAACAACAGATAAGCAAACAAAATAATTCGCCACTATTTTATTTGAAACTGAGAATTTCCCGTTTGAAAAA